CAGGCATAACTTCACACTTAGTGGGCAGCACCTCACGCTTCATTTTGCTTGGCAGGAGAGATGGCCAGATGCGACTGTATACTGATTCATTGGATGTGGTCAAAGGTTTGGATTAATGTTTAGGGACTTGGAAGGAGCAGGATTAAAAAATTTGTAACAAGATGACGTGAAGAAGAGGCATGTGAATAGACATCTTTGAATGGACCGAAGAAGTGAAGCTATTTGGGTCTCACGAATGATCACCTAAGGTTGATCTTGGCAGAGGAGGATTTTAACAATAAAGTGGATAGGATGGCATGTTCTGTAGATTCCAGTCAGCCTCTTTCCTCAGCCACTCCTGTCATTGCCCAGTGGGCTCATGAACAAAGTGGCCACGGTGGCAGGGATGGAGGTACATAGACTTAGACTTACACATAACAACATAGGCTTCCATTCACCAAGGCTGACGTGGTTGCAGCAGAGACCAGCACTGAGTTCCCAATATGGTGCCATTCTTAGGGGCAATCAGCCAGCAACCTAGTGTCAGGTTTATTAACTTGGACTACTTCCATGATGGAAGTTTTGTTTCTACTGGGATAGACACTTACTCTATTTATTTTTGCCTTCCCATCATGTAATGTTTCTTCCAAAACGATCCTTCATGGACTTACAGAATACTTTATCCATTGACCTGGTATTATTCCACACAGCATTGCCTTGGGTCAAGGGACTCATTTCACAGCAAATGAATTGTGGCGATGAACCCGTGCTCATGTAATTCAATGGTTTTACCATGCTTCCTTTTATCCTGAAGCAGTTACTTTGCTAAAATGATGCAATGACCTTTTAAAGACACAGTTATGGTGCCAGTGACTTGGCAGTACTTTGTAGTGTTGGGGCAGTGTTCTCCGGGAGGCTGAATATGCTCTAAATCAGTGTCTAGTATATGGTGCTGTTTCTTCCATAGTCATGATTCATAGTCGAGGAATCAAGAGGTGTAAATGGGAGTGTCACTGCTCACTATTACCTCTAGTTACCCACTTTCAAAATGTTTGCTTCCTGATCCTGCAACCCTGTGTTCTACAGGTCTAGATGTGTTAGTTCCAAAGGGAGGATTACTCCCACCAGGAGACACAACACTGATTCTATTGGCCTAGGATTTTAAGAGTGCCACCCAGCCACTTTGGGTTCCTCATGCCTTTGGATCAACAGGCAAAGAACAGCCTTACCATATGAACTGGTATGATTGATCCTGATTATCAAGAGGAAATAAAATTGGTATTACTTAAGAACATTAGGAGTCCTGGTGTGGCGCTGTGGGTTAATGTACCAGACTGCAAAGCCATTTGAACTGCAAGGTCGGCAGTTCAAGCTCACCAGCTGCTCCTTGGAAACCCCACACAGGGTCACTATGGGTCGGAACTGACACGACAGCACTGCACAATAACAACAATGAGGAGATTAAGAAGAGTAAGTGTGGAATACAGGAGAATCCCTTAGTAAGTCTCTTAGTACTGCCATGCTCTGTGATTAAAGTTAGTGGAAAACTACAGCAACCCAATTGTCCCGGACCCTTCAGAAATGAAGATTTGAGTTACCACCAGGCAAAGGACCATGACCACTGAGGTGCTTGCTGTGGGCAAAGGGGATACAGAATGGGTGGTGGAAGAAGATAGTTCTACATAACAGCTAATACTATGTTGTAGAACTGAGGACTGTAATTTTTTTAGTATTGTTTAATTGTACATTTATGTGTATGTGTGGGCTTCAAAAAATTTATGAAAAATTCTATTACTTTTTTAAATTCTATTTTCCCAAAAACCTTTTGAAGTGCTATTATGTTATTATATATATTATACATGCATACCATGTATGAATATCTATTATATATGAATCCTATATATGAATATATAATAACATGAGGGAGATTCAAAAAGTTTGTGGGAAAATGGAATGAAATGATAATGGAATTTGTCCACAAATTTTTTGAAGCCCCTGTATGTCTGGCATATATCTTTGTTTGCTTTTTTCCCTTCTTCCATTACTTATATAAGATGAAATTGTTTAGTACAGTTTTGGCTGTATGCATGTTAGGTGTGTTATCTTGGGTGTTAGTATGACTTTATAATTGTCTTCATTTAGAGATTATGTATGGTTTGCAGAGATGTGTGTAGGTACCAGGTTGACAAGGCGTAGACTGTGGTGGTGAAGGTTAGGTGTTAACTTAGCTAGAGCATGATTCTCAGTGGTTTGGTTGATATTATGTAACCACTCTTTATTTTGTGATCTGATTCAAGCAGCCAATCAGTTGAAAAGAGAGTTTCCTTGGGGATGTGTCCTGCATCCAGTATCTAGCAAAGCTTGTCCCTCTTGATCCTGCATCCAACTTATCATCTTTGCGCTCTGTTTCTTAGGTCATATACCAGCAGACTGCCTCTGACCTGCTGATGTTGGTTTTCTCAGCCTCTATATCCACATAAGTTAGGAGAAGTCTCCAGCCTGATGCCTGACCCACAGATTTGGGTCTTGCCAGATCCCACAACTGCTTGAGAAATTTCTTGAAAAAAATCCACCACCCCCTCTATATAAATATATATATGTGTGTGTGTGTAAGGAGTTCTGGTAGTGTAGTGGTTACGAATTAGGCTGCTAACCTCAGGGGTCAGTGGTTCGAAACTACCAGCTGTTCCACAGGAGAAAGATGAGGCTTTCTGCTCCCATAAAGATTTACAACCTTGGAAACCCAGTACAGGGTCACTATGAGTTGGAACTGACTCCACAGCACGTAACAACCACAACGTAAACATATATACATATATGTATATTTATATAGTTGTTGTTAAATGCCATCAAATTGGTTCTGACTCGTATCAACCCTATATAGGGTTTCTGAGAAGCATCTGGTAACATCTGGTAAGCTTGAATTGCCAACCGTGCAATACAAACTGACCTTATAGT